ATATTTACTAAATGCCCATACGGACAGTAGCATATATTTAATGTATAATAAAAAAAACTTTGTTATAGTTCATTGATCATGATATAGTTTATGTTTAATACTGAACTCTGTTAAAAGAAAACCCCATAGATTATGCAGCAACGATACACCGATGGGCTAAATTTAACTTAAAAAAATATGGCTGTTTATGTTACCAAATGAAAGGATACGGAACCTAGAACTTTTGATTGGAATCCCATAGGTCTAAACCTTAATTGATAATGCTTAACTATGCTTACAATTATAGTATGTATTAATATAAATAACATAAAAGTACAAAATTCTAAAACTCAGTCATTAATAATATTGAGTCATTATTGTGTGAATAAATTATTTGAAGCTTTTGTATACCAGTCGACGGCATACATAATCGACGGCATGTGCACAAAAACATTTTTATTTAAATTTGTTGCTACGTTCAATATGTAAATGTTAACAAATTGAAGTAAAATCACTGCATAGAAGCATTCTACACGAGCAATCGTAAGTGATAGTAAATTTGTTTCGAATTTTGGCCGAACGCCTAGGTCGCCTGGATCCGCGCTGTGCACGACGTCAGCTTCTTCTCAATGGGGCGCCTTTAAATTGCAAAAACAATCGCGACGTGGACGTGACTGAGCTCTTTCTATTCTCTATTCTCTATTCCACTGCGGTACAATAGGCGTACAGGGCGTATACGCCATACGCCTACATGCCTACAGTCACAGATGACGGCCAAGTGTCGCATATAAACCTTGATATAATATTATATTGAATTTTTATGCCTTTAAACATAGTCTTTATACAGCTATAATGCTATTTAAAAAAAAATCGACAAATAAGATCAGAAGGGACGAGTTAACGCGACCGTAAATACAAATCAAGATAAATTGATGCGCATAATGTAAATCAATTGATTAATATGGACGAAGGCTCCCGGGCGGCAAATTCAAATAAACGCCTCATGCGATATGGCAGAATATTTGATGTACTATATATATACAGGTGGATTAAAGGAATAATATGCAAATGCTTATTGCAAATTATTTTAATTAATTTAATTGATTTGCGAAGTATATAGATTTCATTTCATAATTAATGTAATGAAGGGACTAGGCACTTTCGGCTTAGTTTGATACTAATCATGAAGCATAGACAAATCGGGGCAATAAGGCGACCACAAAATAGTCATATATATATATATAATATATATATATATATATTAACAAAGTCTAATAATCGGGCACAACATCAATAAAAAACATGAATTTCTTTCAAAAATTTATTTTAAATCCATACGTTTCGGCTATAATCCTAGCCTTCATTCAGTGGAAACTAAAAATAAAATTAAAAACTAAAACAATTGAATTGGAGTGAAAAGAAAAAATAAAATAGAAAATAGTACTTACAGTTAGTTGATCTTAGTGTTAATTTGGAAAATTTTAATAATCCATGGTATCAGGATATGGTAATGCACTACACTATGTATTATAAACATTAACTTGAAATTACACAATATTTTCACAAAATACTGATTTTAAAAAATCACAAATGGATAGTGTGTTATTCGTAGACTGGTTGAAGATGTAATGGAGAAAGACATTTTTTAAAAAATATTTTTACCAAGATTCTACACATGTGTAGAATAATTTCCAATTTAACACTAAGATCAACTAATTGTAAGTACTATTTACTATTTTATTTTTTCTTTTCACTCCAATTCAATTGTTTTAGTTTTTAATTTTATTTTTAGTTTTCACTGAATGAAGGCTAGGATTATAGCCGAAACGTTTGGATTTAAAATAAATTTTTGAAAGAAATTCATGTTTTTTATTGATGTTATGCCCGATTATTAGACTTTGTTAATACATATGTCAACATCAAATTCAGAATCATACAATATATATATATATATATATATATATATATATATATACAATTACAAAATTTTATTCAATTTCAACCATAATTAGATCAAATTTTATTAATTATAAATATATTTGATCTAATTATGGTTGAAACTCAATCAAATTTTGTAATACGAGAATCATGTTGCAATAACAATACTTTTCGGACAATAAGTATTGCAATAAAAATACTCAACGATATTCTGTCTCGGTAATCAATAATAATGGTAACAATCAGTTATTATATAAAATATTTTAGTATTCTACTTAAAATCTCTATCACACGTGTGCATATAATACTTATCTATGACTCGTCTCTCTTTCGTCAATGTGCCTCTGTTTAGTAGAATATCTCATTGTTTAGGTATTTAAAATGTTCTTCCTCGGAAACTGTAGAATTTAACGTCTCGCGCGTCTGGTAGTATGTAGAAATACCACATGGCCGCGTTATAAAGTAAATAAAACATATCAGAATAGCGAATGAAAAAAAGCGAAGTACGGATCGAACCACTTTACATTTCGTAAAAGTTACACTGTTATACAAAATTTAATTGTGAAATATTGAAACACAGTAATTTGCGAATAACACTTCTTTTATTAACAAGTAAAATAGATAATAAGAGTAAATTTATAAGAATTTTTAAATAAGTAAAAACAAAACATCTTGGCTTATTTTTATCATTCACACAAGTCAATTATAGACTCATTGTGAATTATGATTTTTATTCACTTTCAAATTTTTTTTTTATTTTCGTATAAAGCAGTCATTCCCAACCTGCGGCGCGCGTCCCACAGAAGGGCAATTTTTAAAATCATGCGGGGAGGCGGGGGCAAATTAAAAAATGATACGTCTTTGACCCATTCGCTTTGGATGATTTGAATACTATAGAAGAGACAATCTATAGACTATAGCGCATTCCGTTTCTCATAGAATGATTGATAATAGTAAGAATATCTATGGTATAAAATAGAATAGTTTAATATAATAATATGATAGTTGTATTTTAATTGTATTCATTATAGCACATCTAAATTCAATTAACAACAAAATAAATATGATTATTCTTATTAACGGATATAAATTATGTACTCAGTGACTCCATTATGCTTATACAATTTAATGTATGGACTAGCTGTATATAATTGAGGTAATCAATCAGAAATCAATATATTAGCTTATTAGCAATACATCGAATACCTTTTAAACTTTTGAAATTCGTGCATCCGTTTTTGAGAATTTGTCTGGCAAATGCCAAAAAACGAGGAAACGTCAAGAAATCATAAAATTAGCAGGTCATACTTTCTGAAATCTTCTTCGAAAAGTTAGGAAAAAGAAATGGACTTGATTGAATGTAGAAAAATCAGTAAGAAAATTAATTTGAATTTCAATTTTGATAACATGTTTCACTTATGAAGTTTTGATCACAATTTAATAGTGATTTTTGAGGATCTATCTTATATTTAGAAACAAAATAATTTTTGAAGGTCAAAAGTTTCATATGAGGGCCATAGCGTTTTTAGAAACGTTAAGATGGGGCGTAACCTATAAAAAGTTTTGGAAACACTGGTCTAGAGACTATTTGAATTCCAAAAAAAAATTGAAAATGAAAATTTTTTACTAAAATAAAATACGTTTGTTTTTCGAGTAGCAAGTCTTTAATTTGAATTTTGATGAGAATTCTAATATATGCATATCTAATATAATTGCATGTATGGATAGCTTTCATAATCAGTTTTAGTAGGTTTAGGTTATTCCTCATTTCTATAATGATGACTTAAATGAAAAAACATTTATATATTTTTACATTTGAACGTGACATTCTGCAATGAACTCAAAACAACTAAATTTGGCAATAGCTCATTAATGTGAAAAGATGTATTACTGTAATATGTAATATTTTTATTAATTTATTGCTTTGAATCATGTACATTATATATAAAGAAAGTTTTCATATATATATATATATATATATATATATTATTATTATATTATATATATATATATATATATATATATATATATATATATATATATATATATATATATAAATATATGTATATATATATAAATATATATATATATATATATATATATAATACGCTCCGAAAATTGCCCGACTCAACTCGTTTTAATATAAATGTATATATATATATATATACATTATATATATATTGTATATATATATATATATATATAAATTTGGCAATAGCTCATTAATGTGAAAAGATGTATTACTGTAATATGTAATATTTTTATTAATTTATTGCTTTGAATCATGTACATTATATATAAAGAAAGTTTTCATATATATATATATATATATATATATATATATATATATTATTATTATATATATATATATATATATTGAATTGAATCTTGAAATCCTCAAGATATATAGATATATTATATATATATATATATATATATATATATATATATATATATATATATATATATATATATATATATATATAATACGCTCAGAAAATTGCCCGACTCAACTCGTTTTAATATAAATGTATATATATATATATATATATATATACATTATATATATATATATATATATGTCAAATGTTGATTACAACTCTATTAACTCTTTCACGATTGTTTTTATTTATTATATTTTTACGAACTACTAAAGTATCTTTGGAAATGCTGTATACAATTACTATTATTCATCACTTATTTATATATAACAAAATTCAATGTAGTTAGATTTTTTTAAATGCATATATACCAAATATTCTTATTTGATGATAATTGCGCTAGTTAAATTGGCTATCAAATCTCCATATAATATTAAAATAGTAACACTGATATACTACAACATCTATAATTCGATTATTTTATTTATCCGCTTCACTAGATATAATACTATTGCTCACATTCATTGCTTAATCAGATCACTTTTATCACCTTGCAAAAAATTAACACTAATATTGGCAATTAAATATTATTTAGTATTTCTAAAATGCAATAACGTTTAACTTATATTAATATTTAGAAAATAAATAATCTATTATTATATTATTTGTATAAGATTTTGGCAAGAAATATACTCTCTATCTTCACAAAGTTTGTTCCTGCTTCAGTTCCAAGGCCCAAACGTGTTGCGGCCAACCGGTCCTGCCTTTGCTCCTTCTGGAGTCGCCGTCCGGAATCTGTAACACGATACAGAATACTAATTTTGATTCAGATTATAGAGGCTCAGAGATGTTCACTTAAAATTTATTCAGTCTAAATATAATTAATGGTTTTTTAAAAGACTCTTGAAACATAAAGAATATCATAAATGAATTATTATCTCAGACGAATTATTTTCAATTAATAAATTTATTCGTTATATAATTAATTGTTTTTGTAAAAGTTCCTTGAAACGTAAAACATAATAAATTGATTAGTGATAACTACTAATATTTTTTATCGTGTGAATACAACAGTTTAGATAAAGATATAAATTATTTGTTATAAAATACGCAATCAGAAATAATGTACCTATTTAGCAAGAATTATTTTTAATAAATGAATTTATATAAAACATAAAATTTGATCACATGTGTTAATCAGCAAAACCCTTCTCAATATTCGCATTGATATGTAGCTTTATTATATTCTATCACGCGTTCAGAAGATCATTACATATTTATTTAGAGTATAATTCAATATAATCCTCGTCTCATATGATAAATATTTGAAACATAGTCGTCTCTTCCCGTCTAAACTGTATTTAATTCATATAATGAAGTCATATAGACTCGACGACTTTTGTCATTAGATCTCATCCCCCAAATCGTCTGGTGTAACTTGATTATAGAGCAATTACCCTAAAAGGCACGGCGACGGGTCTGTTCTTGGGGTGCGCGTTACCCGTGAAGCTGAACACGGGCACCAAAGGCATGCCTCAGTTATATTAGTAATAATAATAAATAGTATGAGAAGAGTTGGATGTAGCGGCATGTAAATTTCAAGTGCATTAAATAATCGTAAATGCATGCAATAGTTCATATGATCTCATTCACATAGAAGTCGTGGGAAAAAGTAAAGCGTTAAATCTACTCTCCATCGAGTTAAATTTTTAATAATTGATAAAATCAAATTGAGTAATCTTTTAAATAGCATTAAGATATTACTTCATGTGATTCTAGCAATTATTTTCTGAGTAAATCGATATATAAGCATTTTCACTGTCTATTCGGCTATATTATGTCTTTTCCAAATGTTATAAATATAAAACATAGAAACAAATTTATGGAATAGAGAAATGAAATTTTTGTACGTTCATTTATAGATATATTGAATTCAAATAAAAAATACATACATATAGTGTGTACATTTTTATAGAATTTTTGCTATGATAATTCGATCGGTGTGATTCGATTATTCTGAAACCTTTGTAACTTTAATAAATTGCTTATCATCAGCAAGATTGGTCAAACCGTCGTGTTTGAAATGAAATCATGTATTCATCAGTTTATTCAATGGGTTTGCTTCTGCATATAGTAAACTGATTAACTAATCAAGCAATAAATAAATGTATTTTTATACAGTTCCTCTGCACTTGGTTTGTGGCCATGTGCTACATAAACCTAAACCCATATCATATATAAACCACGACGGCTCCGTGAACGCGATAGAAATATCGAGGGGCGTAATGAGTGATTGGCCGATAGACGACCAGATAAAGTGAACAGCGGTTTATGCCTATTCAATTATAATGGAAAATTTCGAATGTCAAAATAGATTAATGAATTCTAAATAATGTGATTATTGCTGACAATCTGGCAATACAGAAGAATGTGGTATTTCTTGCGAAGAATTTTTTGCAAAATTCAGTAATTTGAAACATACTATCTAATTAGGTATATTTATGAAATTGCCATATAAATATTTAGAAATAGTTATCCTAAGTTTTGGTGAGCTCCTCTTGGCGCATGAGTAAATCTTGTTATTACAAATGAATGATCAATTAGTATGAGTTATCTAATTATTATAATTATATTAATGATAATGACTCACTTGTGGATCCGATTTGCAACCGTTCGCCCCGACGTTGATGTATTGTTCGTCTCCGTAAAGTGAGCCGTCGTCGATTTGATTGGCTCGATGTATGCAATCGCTATTGGCGTTCCTGTTTGAAATAGCGCCATTGTTAGCCGCTGCACCTCTTCGGCCGCCGCCGCTTGCCGCAGCTATGAGCTCCGCGCGAAAGCCACCGGCCGGTTCACGATCGGTTTCCAAGACTCCCATCAGGTATGATATGTATGATGTCGCGAGTCTCAGTGTTTTAATCTGAAACAAAACAAAAATTCCTTCAGTTTAATTGAACTAATTCTCATCTAATATCAAACAAAAGTTCGGCGCTATTGTTATCACCTTAGACAGTTTTGTGTCAGCTGGTACGTTAGGGATGCACTCTCTGAGATCGGAGAAAGCGGTGTTAATACTCTGTGTTCGCCGGCGCTCTTTCTTGTTTGCTGTATTTCTTCTCCTAATTACCCTCACAGTACCTCCTGGTGTTGTAACTGTCTCTGCCCTGGTCCCCGTGAGGCCCGGCTGACCGCCGCAGTAGCCTTCATCGTAGTATGATTGTGACATTCCTATTTTTATAGATATATTACTTTATTTAAAATATTAAATGCTGAATATTCTAAATAACTTTGCTCTAAATTTGAATTCAACTAGAATTTTATGCTTAATTCTCCATTCTTGAAGCGTTGCAATAAAATTATGAAATGTTATAAGTTACTTACAAAATTAAACAAACTAAGTGGTAAGAAGGACATATTTTAACTGAATATATAAATTGTTGTATGTTATCAATCATAAAGTCAACCGAATTTGTTTTTCTCAGCGCTTATTGTCTTATTACTAAAATCAGTAATAACATCGTGTCATGTATATTTAAAAAATAACTTATTTGTATCCGGTATAAAAGACAGGAACTTTGTATCAATTGTAATGCTGTTAACAGTAGTTATATACAAATATAAAATAAACAACTATGCCCTTTGGAGCCAGATGTTAGTAAACTCATATGAGTTTCAAGTCATATACGAGTATGACTGACATGCACGGGGAGCTGCGGGAGATTATGATTCACGAATGAAAAAATATGATATTTAAAAGAAATATATTGTTTTCTTTGAACTTCGAAGTTCTTGAAATTTTTCATCCGTATTTGTACCTTTTTATGGCAGACTCGTGCAATTATTGAAACTTCGAATCATATTTTTTCAAACTATGTATTTGTATTCTCTTTGAACAAAGGACGTTAATAGCTATATATTAGTAATTGCATGCCTTTCTCATATTGATATTGGTGGGCGTAGAGCGCCGTGGGATACGCTGCATCTGGGGGGCATCTTTCAAAGTTATCGTGCGGCGATCCGCCCCTCACGGAATGACATCCGCCGCTACTGCACGGGGAACCCCAATAACCTTCCTCCGTTGGCAGCATTTCTGCAGAATTTTCAATATATTCAAGTTATACATCGTATAAGTATTATTAACCTTCATAGATTCGACTTATATAAATTTGCTTCGTCAGAATCGTAAATAAAATGTTATTTGTTAGGTAATGCCACAATTATTTATTCATGTTTTGTTCTTTGTTGTTTGTTGATATCAATAATTCAATCTATTTGTGATTTAAATAGTCAATATCAAAGTTTGATACTCATGATGAGTATACTCCTTAGACATTATTATAAGGTAATCTATTATAAGGTCAATAAGACATTATTATAAGGTTTACGAAAAATTTTGCCACTCAGTTAACTTGATAATTAAAGTAATTATTTTGTTTAGTCCCTTGATGTGCAACTGTGAATTCGATAAATAAATAAAAATGCATACTATATGGTGATTATTATTATTCCGTTACATGATCCTAAATTATATCAATCAATTTTCTAGTTAATAACTGAAAATAAATAGAAATTAACGAATTTAAATAATGTAAATATGTAATCTTCAATGTAATGCACCTTCGTGAATCGTTAACTTATATTTTATATACATTTCTTTCCTTTGAATTGTCTATTGAAGAAATTTGGAACTTTAATTATCAAATAGCTCTATCACAATATAAAGATAACAATGAGAAATTTATGAAGCAATGTTCAAGGAATGTGATTTGTTTAATAAATTTATTAATTGTTACCGTATGACGTTGATGACACCAATGTCTGATACAAAGGATAACAGTTCTGCTCGAAACTATCTTGCTGGTCTGTAATTCTCTTCTGGCAAATATCACCATCAGATGATCCAAAACTCGACATTGTCCAAAATCTTCAATTAACTTTTGTGATCACTTTTTTACAAATAATAAAACAGAATTAACTAAATTTAGTTAAGTTATTTAACTGCGTCACTGAGTTATCACAACACACCAAGATCACACATAAACGCACATGGTGACTTTATTATCACATTTGAAGTTTTATTTATTTTCACATCGAGTTAATGCTTGGAAAGAATAAAATTTTATTTTATTATCATTGACTGCGCGCAACAATGATTTGATTTATAAAATGTAATTAGCATCAGCGGAATAATATTGATATACAGTGTGTTCTTTAGATTCCATATGTGAGAAAAGAGTAATATTGGATTTTCGGTCCTGATGGTCCTGAACGAACGTTTGTGCGCAGAGTGATTAGCGTCGTCAACTGAAGATGCGGAGAGGATGCTGAGCTCTCGCTGAACTGCGAAGGCACGCTGACCACGCCTCTGCTGATCTCGCCTCGAGGATGACTCGACCAGGTACAGTAAATCAGTAAAGTAAGATTAAGATAATTAAGCTGCTTGTAGCAATCAAATTACATTGCAATACGTTTGCAATTTTATTACTTTATATCACCCGTTAGGCACTGTAATTAATTAAGAAAGGACATTTCTACAACAAGGAAACTATAATCCTTAATACTATTTGAATTTTATGACGTATTTGAATTTGCACATGGAGCCTTTTACACTGATCAATACAGGATAATATGATAATTTATTATAAGGCGTTTGCAATAAAGTGATAAAATCAGTAGCCATGTAGTCATTTACATAAATAATATAAATATAAATACTATATGCACGTGCAGGTTTATCCGTGATGTTTATATCTACAATGAAATTAATATCATAATATTATTAATAAAACTAAAATTTCAAATTGTCCGTGTCTAGATATATGATCAGAGGTTTTAGTTTTTCTCGTTTTACTTTATGAAATAACGCTAAAAACTAAATAATGCTACAAATAAAACTAAAAACAATAATAATTAATTCACTGTGGAGTAAGTTATAGTAATCTGAACTATGATTGAGCATTATGGCATACCATATAAAAAAAGAATGTATGTATGTGTGTATGTAGGTATATGCGCGGATACAATTTTTGGTCGACGATTTAGAGAACACGAATCAAAAAAAAATCAAAATTTTCAAAAGAATTTAAAATAACAAAATGAAATCTTTTCAAAAAATATTTCGAAATCCTAATTTTTTTCAAAGTTTTTGAAAAAATTTGAAAGCTAAGTTGAAGTTACGGCAATTTGCGTTAAGGCATGATGCCACGTGCCATGCACCACTAGCATTATTTCTAGTTTCCACTAAATGAAGGCTAGGGCTACATCCGAAACGTATGGATTTTAGTATAAGTTTTTAAAGAATTTCGTGTTTTTTATTGATTTTATGCCCGATTATTATAGATACTGTTAATACATATGTCAACATCAAATTCAGAACATTGCATTGTTAGGGAAATTGTATAATACGGGATAGAAAAATTATAAATATAATATTTAAGTGCAATGAACAGCGTAAAGTGGCGTGTTATGAAGGAAATCGTATTAGGCATGATGGTCAACGGAATTTTACTATATGTATAACTTATTGGTCCGGCGGTCCGGTGTCCGAGAGTCCGGGGATTCGGTTATGTTGATATCAAACGATTATAAGCGCCGCAGAGTGTACGTACGGTGCATATCGCCGCCCGCGAGGCGGAGTTTATTTGAGTCGTTGCCGTCGTTTTCGACGCCCATTGGTTGAAGAAGCTCGCCGTATTCATATCGCCCGAACACGAGAAGAGCGTTTCAAAAACCATTTTCATTGTTTAGTTTAATGCAATCATAGGAAAAAGGAAGTACATTTTATATAGCACTTTATTACAAAGCCTAATCGTCTCTAATATACGTCCATAACCAGACATTGTGTAGCTACATAAGTGACGCATAGCTTTTAAGTTTTAGGTTTGAGATAGGCACGCACATCGAGAACATTCACACATGCATCATCAATTACATTCGGTACATTAGAATAAAAATGGATTAGAAAATAATAGACGTTTTACTAATTGAATTAGGCGAGAATATTTGTTGATGTGTAAATCTTTTTCTCATATAAACAGAATTTCGACATAGAATAATGTGCAATTGAAAAAAAAAAGTTTTTTTGACACTCGACACCCATCAAGTGAAGCAAATTTGTGGCGCCGATTCATGAGTGGTCAGGGGCGCCAGTTGTCTGGTGAATCCTACAGAGACGAGACAAACAAATTTATAACCAAATAATAAAACATTGACATTTATCAAGACAGTTGACAGATTTATTGAGATTCTTATTTCAAAACTTCATCCATTTTTTGTATATGAGCAATATTTCACATTCGAACCAAAAATACGCAAACAATTTATTTTCTGATAAACTGTTGGATTGATTTAATCAAATTTATATAATTTTTATAACAAAATAATAGAAGATATTGACATTTATCAAAACAGATTTATAGAGATTTTTATTGCAAAGTTTTATTCAACGTTTTGTATATGATACACAGTTTCGGAATTAATAAAAAATATGCACCAATTTACTTAGTTTATTTTCTAATAAATTGTTGGATCGATATAACCAAATGTAATTTTAATAACCGGATAATAAAACATATTGAGATTTTTCAAGACATTTTTCAAGGTAGATTGATATTGAGATTTTTATTACAAAGTTTTATAAATTTTTTTGTATATGATATACTGTTTAAAAATTGTTCAAAGCATACTTACCTAATTGATTGAGTTTACTTTCGCATAAATTGTGGATCGATATATCAAACTCAAACATGACTGGAATAGAAATATACAAATCGAATTCGTTCACGGAAAGAGAGAAAAACTAGCTGTAAGTGGAATTCTGTCTTAAGGCAATTAAGGCATCGTGCCTTGAGGCAAATTGCTGGAACTTCCCGTACCAAAAATTATTATTTTTTTAAAAACGATTAACATTTTTGAAAAAAATTTACTTTGAAAAAAATAAGATTTTTGAGAAACTATAAATTGGACAATAAATTACTTTTTTTGAAAAAAAAAAATAAAATTTTTTTTCTTTATTTTGACATATTTTAGAAGATCTGAACTTTTTTTCAAAGCAATCGTACTGCTTCAACTGCATAGAGACGAAATATCGCAGCGCGAAAGGGCCGCGTCGGCGACAACGGATAAATATTGGTACGGAACCCATAGAAATGTAAACAAAATTTTTACTTATTGTTAAAATCTCTATAAAATATCTGATAATTTGATGTGCATATGTCTAATGTTCATTTTGACCGCAAAATGGCTCATTTCTTTACTTTTTCCTCTAAAGTTGTTGGACCTGCCTTTCCAAAAATTTGAACAATTCTTTATTTAGTCAATAAAAATAAAAGCTTTTTGAATTATTCAAATCGGACGCTCCGTTCTCTTAAAAAACTGAGTTACCGTTTCTGGCACTTTTTGCCCCATATCTTCGGAACGGCTAGACCTGCCTCCGCCAAAAACGAATCGAATTTTTTTTTTGAATTATTCAAATCGCTTCATCCGTGTTCCCGAAATCGTCGACGAAAATTTGTATCCGCACACGCATACATACACGCGCACACACACACACACATACACACACACACACACACATACATCCATTTTTTCTAAGGTATGCCAAAATATTCAGAAACATCTGAAACGTAAAGATATATAAAAATTTTCATTTTCGATTTTTTTGCCATTACTATAACTTACCCTACGGGAAGTTAATTATTCTTTTATAAAATATTGCTGTTGTACATGATATAGTTTCACGTGATTCGCTATTTAAAACTATGTATTATATTCGCTATTTAACTATTATGGTTTTGTTATACATATACACATATTTTGTTGATATAAATAGCTATGAATATCATAATTGTTTTAATTTGGTTGATTCAGCATTATCATCATATATATATATATATATATATATATATATATATATATATGTGTGTGTGTGTGTGTGTGTGTGTGTGTGTGTGTCTGAATGTGATATGTGTGGCCTAACTTATTCTTCACTTCACGGCGCCACAAAGTATAAAGAATTTCAAAAAACTTTAATTTATGTGATTCTAGTTAGGAAGCTACTCGGTTTCATTGTTGAAATATATGAGTGAGTTCTTGAGGGCGATAAGGCAAAGATTTATAAAATAATCTTTAATTCCAAACGTTTCGACATTCAATTTAATGTCATCATCAGTGGATCTAAAAACAGTATAAAAATTAATATAACTAGGTAATTATAAAATATGCGGATTAGTATAGAACTATAATATATATATATATATATATATATATATATATAAAAATATGTATGTAATATGTCTATATATATAAATATATGTAAAGGTATATATATATATATGTATATAAATATAGAATAAATTAAATACATATATATGTATATATCTAAAAATATATATGCTAATGAAGTTCGTTCGGCGATTTGATTATCTATTGCATTTTCTGAGTTTGAGTAATTTTTTGTTCCGCAATATTGTAATGCGATATTTAAATAGAACATGTGCCTGCATGTCCCTATCCCTACGTGTTGCACAATAGAACAGTGTAAACATTGTTCCTCGAAGTCGGAGTCGGAGTCGGAGGACCTGTTGTTATGCAGACGCGTCATGAATCAATTCCAGTCTTGAAGGAACCACGTGCAGCAACAGTGCTACCGAGAGCGACTTCTTGTTCATTGATAACGAAAAAGCATCTTTAGTAATACTTAATGTGTAGGGGGAAAATACAAAGTGGTTTTTCCTTATCACATCTTACAATTAGTTCGTTTGAGAATTTTATTCTTGGATACATATTTACATGGTCGACAAAAATTGATCCCTTATTTCGAGTCATTCTGAATCGTTTCAATCAAAATTGAAAAAGGTATGTATTGTTTTAATAAAATTTGACATGACTCCAAAGATCACTAAACTAACATCTTAAAATATTATAGTTCTTCGAATTATCGTAGAATCTAAATATATTCCTTATCTATGGGCTGAATTCATTATAGTTATAAAGATATTCATTGAAATATATTAATCGAAATTGCATTGCATTTCTCGACGTTTTGAAGGTTTCTGAATTTTTGGCACACCTCAGAAAAAATAAATGTGTATGTGTGAGTGTGTTTTGTGTGTCCGCATTTTTTCGTTCACGTTTTTGGGCGCACGGATTTGAATGGTTCAATAAACATTTGATTCCTATTCATAGGGTAGGGAGATGCGCTGATTAGTTTTGGCAAAGGCAGGTCCAGCCGTTACAAAGATACGGAGCAAAGAGTGCAGAAAATAGAAATCGAGTTTTTGAGAGAACAGAGTATCCGATATGAATTATCTGAAAAACATTTAATTTGTAATGATTGGGAGAAGATGTGATTAGCTTTTAGCAAAGCAGGCCAGCCATTTCTAATATACAGAGCTAAATGTGCAAAAAATGGCAGTTTTTGAGAGAACTAAGCGACCGATTTCAATGATTCAAAGAACTTTCTGCTTGTTTTAACAAAATAATTGCTCTTGGGGAAAAAATTGTTTCAATTTTTTTTTCAAAATTTTTCTTTCAATTTTTTTTTTTGTATATCGAAAATAATTCAGATTTTAATTGAAATTTTGAATATAGTTCTAATATTTAGTTACGGTATGGGAAGTTTCAGCAATATGCTTTAAGACACGATGCCATACACCCACTAGTTAAGGTTTTTTTTTACTCTATTTAGAAAATATTAATATTACAAAGCATTTCATTAAAATCGATGATTGAATCTTGCAAGTCTGCATTCTACTAGAACGTCGAATTTCGCAACCCTTGCGCTAAGGGATGAAATTTGGATAAGATAAAATCTCTCTTTTCTGTTTCCGCCTTGATCGAAGAAACATAACCAAGAAATAAATTTGTTCTATTAAAAATTAAATATTATAATAAATACTTTTTACATTTTTAGAATTATTAATAAACTCATAGTATTATAGTGTTATTACTATTTCATTGTGAACTATATATTTTATATAGATGCACTAACGTAAGTTTATAATTTGTTATGAAATGGCGCCCTCTATTATTTTATCCATTAACCTATTAGGTGTCTCACAATCACAACCCATCGAAGAAACCCACCAGCAATACGAACATACGAAATTTGTCGAACGTGTGTGACATTTGCCTATTTTTATTTCAAATGTTTTGAAAGGTTCGTATGTTTAAATTTAGTATTTCAGAAAAAAGTTAAATAAAAAAAACGAAATGCCTAAAGTATTGTTGAATGAGGCCGTCACATTAGAAATTGGAGGTAACTAATTATTATGCAATGATTTATGCCGGAGCCCTAATCGTTATTGAATTACAGCTACAGATCCATGGCCCAATGACGTCCAATTATTTCAGCCTCTAGAAGTTGAACAGATTTTATTACCAGATAATGCTAATTGTCTTGCAGTTAAGGCTTATCTAAAGGTACGTCGAATTGGTATATGTTTCAGTATCATCTGTGTTTTACATTATTTATAATTCATTGCTATATGATTGTAGATGTGCAATCTGCCATATAATGTGGAGTATCGTCATAATGCAGAATTCATGTCCCCCACAGGACAAGTTCCATTTATTAAGTGTGGTGCTTTTCTTGTCCCTGAACTTGAAAATATTGTTTCTTTTGTCAATAAGAAAGATATATCTCTGACTAAAGATCTGGATCAAACCACTAAGCTGGATATGCGGGCTTATATGACCCTTGTAAACAATATTTTGTCATTTGCTGAGGTAAATATTAGAACCATATATATACTACAGTATGTAATAATAACACAGGTCTACAAAAAAATTGTTGTCTGTATTGGGTGTGTAAGATATGTTTTCTAATATAGTTTTTACCGCTGAACACGAATCTAAACTTAAAATTGGGGTTAAATGGAAAAAATGATGAAAAATAACTACCAAAAGAACACAAAATCTGATCTAGTAATTCTTCTGCATGATAATTAAAATCTTTTTCGGTCATTCGGATATTCGGTCATTTCCTTGTCTTAATTAACAATTGAGTTATCACTTAAATGATCTATTAAGTTATTTTTGTAGATTACAGAAGTAATTCAGATATTTTCAGATATTCAATTGCAGGTATATTTGCAGATTAACCATGGGCTGTGGGGAGTTAATATGTTTGGAAATTACATGAATGATAAAAAAAAAAAAACTCAACTTGAAACTCGATAGTCATTTAAGATAAAAAGGGCCAAGGAATACAGAAATTATAAGAAATGGAGAAGATGAAAGTAATTCTTCTCAGATCAGAGATTTTATCATTAAAAAAAATATTTTTTTTTTCCATTTGACCCCCAATTTTGATTATGAATTTGTGTTCAGCGATAAAAACTACATTAGAAAACATATGCCGCACACCTAATACATAATTTTTTTTTTTATGGACCTGTATTCTGTTTAATTGATAAACTTCTCATACATAATGCAACTTGAAGAAAAACATGCAGAATTTTGTTTTCTTCATTATTTTAGTTATATATTACGTGGGTTGATAAAAATACTTTGCATCAAGTGACTTACCAAAGGAATGCTTACCCGTATCCGTGGCCTCTAAGTACTTATCAAAATTATAAGAAACGAAATCAAGTAATCCGAAAGTTAAAAGCTCATGAATGGTATAACTACAGTATATCAGATGTACTGAATAAGGTAAATAGTTTGAAAACTTATTTACAAATGAAATGAAACTGTATCTATATAATAAACTATTGCTTTATCACTAAATTTTGAGGTAAAAAATTATAATTATTACAGGTGGAGAAATGTTGCAGTGCTCTCAGTGAAAAGCTCGGTGATAATGATTACTTCTTTGGAAACAAGTATGTACTCTCTTTTTTTAGCATGTTTATTTTCTTTGCTTTTGAAAGAATCAAGGAAATTGTTTTTGGGTTAATTGCACCAAAGTATTAATATATAATAACTGTCACTAATAAGAATAACTCATATGAAAAATTTCAATTTAACATCTAAAGTTTGGATTTGAATATGGTAATTTTAGTTCATTTATTGGAATATCTATTTACCAGATTAGTGTTTATAATTGTGCAAAATAATTGTTTTGATCATGCAGGTGCAATATTGGCTTGTTGCATTTTTGTTGTAATTTTAAAATTTTAATTTTGCTATTGGTTTGAACTATGAATCTTAGACAAATGCTCACTGACTAATGGTGACGTAATGTAAAGAAATTGATCCAGTATAATCTTATAAATTTTCCTGATCTCGAAGCCTTTTGGATTGGTGCCCTTTTGGATAGGGGCTTGTGATATTTTGCCAGTCCTGCCACCCTATAGTTACACTACTGTTATTAGTGCTTGAAATATAGTTAAGTTGTTTTCTTGTTTTTGCTAATCTTTCAAGTGTCTTATTGGAGCCCTTATTATAAATAATTCTTATAAAATGCATTATTAGCCATTAAAATGTACATCGTTATGCTGCAACTTTACTGATGAAAATATATTTAGTAGTAGATAAATATGAAGTATTTGAAATGTTTCTTATCTAAGGATTATTGATCTAAGGGCTTGAATATGTTAATGCTAATGTAATGTTGCTTGAGCTTTATAAAATAAATGTTGGAATGTACTCAGATTAACGGAAATGGACTGCATGTTGTTTGGTCATTTCTTCGCAATAATGGTTACATCATTGCCAAATCCGGCTTCTAGTCTTTCTCGAATATTGCGCCGGCACAAGCCCCTTTTGCGTCACTGCAATCGCGTCGAGTTTCGGTGTTTTAGTCGCGAAACGGATTTATTCAATGAAGGCATTGCCGACATATACACGAATAATCGGCTCATGATGAAGCAGATTCTGACCACTCTCAGAATTAACGAGCTTGAACGGCAGAAGCGCATTGTAATTATTCAGGAAATCAAAAATAGCACGGCGGCCGCGATCGCCGATTATTTGGATGACGACGAACCGTTCGACGTGTCCAGTTCCATAGAGGCGATTTCTATGGAGGACATCAGGGAATGCACAAGCTCGACGCATTTGTTTTCTGATGTCGAAGGAGGCTCTACTGAAAAATTTCCGGATATCAATGATGCAACCGAAATTCTTTGTTAATTTTTTTGACAGTAACCTTTCTTTTTAGTTTTTAATAAATCAACAGTTTGTGATAAATAACTGTGTTTTATTGGCATGCTTTAAGATCGATACAATAAATTATAATTTCTATTAATGTTTAAACGTGATTTGTTTGTCGTGCTCGTTTGAGTAAACATTTTTCAATCTAATTACGAATAAACATGATATCAAAATTCTTCATTAATTTGTGGCTCTAGATTTAGATATTTTTTGCGCTTATTCTATATTTGTCAATATTTCTAGTCAAATATAATAAATAATTTTACAATGAGTCTATAAATAATTTGGTTCTCTTCTATTATTAGTGATTATTTATGTTAAATGTGCATTTAACATTTGCAATACTAACATAGGAAATGCTTATACCATATCTACTATTGCATAAATGAAGGATATCTAAATGAAAATTGAAATTTTAGGCCTACAGAATTAGATGCATTACTCTTTGGACACTTGTTCTGTCTAATTACAACTAGTATGCCGGAATCGTCACCTAAAATTGTCCCTATTATTTCGAAGTATAAAAATTTAACTGATTTCTGTCATAGAATTGATAGGACATATTTTCCTAGAAAGGTTTCTACATAATAAATAAGATAATGACCAATGTAAGTAAGATAATAAATATTACATTCATTTACTTGAATAACCTTCATAATTAGTAGTGTTAGTAATAAGAGTTTTATGAATAAAATTTATCTTTGCATAATAGTTTTATTCTATTTAAATAAATGAATATATCTTTCTATTTTTTTTTTTTGATAAATAACATAGGAATAATAAAAATTAATATGAATGGTAGTCCATAGATTCTCGCAATCCTAAGCAGTCGACTTCGTCTATTTTTAAGGAGTTTGTTTTGATATTTATATCTTCTTCGAGTTGAATTTGAGCCCTCAGTAAGTAGCGAAGCGATGCTTGCGACTCCAGAAGCATATTCTGTGATAAAAACTATTTATTAACTTGGATTTATAGGCAGTCGATGACAATATTTAAATAATTACAGTGATTGAATATGTGAACACATTGTAACTTTTGCTTGTTGCTCATGATGTTAGCAAAATACACAAATTACTGAGAAAATAAAACCTAATTTTTAGTTATTTAACTTATTTGTTTTATGTTATTAGGACATTAATTTTTTTTATTATTTACCTGGAGTTTATGAGTATTCTCTTTAAGCTGTCGAACCTCATACATTAATTTAGCGTCTACTGGATCCTTACAAAATTCTATACCAGGTCTTTGGGCACGATTTCCCAATCTAATTGAATTATTAGTATTGTTTTAGTTCTAATTTTAAATAAATATTTAAGTAGCAAATATCATTTTACATGATACTGACTTCAATATTATATAAAATGCTATTCGCTAATTTCAATTTCAATTCTTGAAATGTATTACCTTGTATGTGCCAGTGCCAGGAAGGATTCCTTTTCATAGAGCGCTTTTTCTAAACCAGTAATATTCAGGGTCATTTCGTTCGCTTGCCGTTGCGTCTGAAAAAAAAATAATATACTTCTGATTTTACAATTATTTGTGATTGCGCATACCTCGGCATGTTTAACTTCCATTTTAGTTTTTGATTCCCTAATTTCTGATATACGTATTCGAAACGCTTCATTTACCCGATTATATTGCTCCATTAGATCGGTCGTTACCTAATGTAAAAAATATTTATTTATTTATTTTTATCATTTATTTTTAGTCATTCGATGAGATAATTATAGCTACAACATTATTATTACTACAACTAATTATCTTATGCAGTATTTTTTATCAAAGTCATAGGTCATAGCTGATATTAATTATCTTAATAGTATTGTTTAACATTAAAATTGCCTGTTTAAGTAGTGTATCCACGTAGGACCTCATTATTCTTCCGCTGTTTATTTCCTTTGCACCACGATCTATATTCTTGCAGGTGTAGTCTACGTATTCTTCATATGTTATTGTTCTAGAAAATAATATGTAAAAGGTGGTATATATATATATATATATATATATATATATATATATATTATATTATATTATATTTTCAACAGCGCTCAGAACTACATTTTCTACGAGTTATATTTGCTATAGTAACAGATATTTTCATCTTATCGCTGCTGTATGTTTTTAAGCGAAATTTACTTGATTTTTTTATTGGATTTCAAGTGGAAATTTGCTATTATACTGCTCGATATCAATCTGGCCAAATGTTTGGATCGACCCTAGACTAGTTTGTCTTAGCCGACGTTTTCTACCGTTACACGACTAACGATAATTATTTATTATATTAGTAATATTAGTTAACCTACGCAGGATTCAAGGGCTGAGTCCCTTCGTAAATCGAGAGGGCCATGCTGTTGTTATTAAGACTTTTGTTGTATTGGTCGATTCTTAATGCCGCTGTCTTGTCCTCGTGGTCACGGTCTAAAAAGTACACAGTGGAACGAAGCCGTCGAATCTGTTCATTTGCCTAACACATGATATTTAATTATTACTTACTTACTAACATACAGAATGTAAAAAGTACGTATAAAAATGTATTAAAATAATAATGAATGGCAGGAGATTCAGATAATATATTGAAGATCCATAATAAAATTTTGAAAAAATTTAAAACGTTTAGTGGTAATATGATAGATTATCATAGTACCTCCTCCATGGTGCGTTGGAGTAAACACTGAGCACCTTGAATTACTTCAATTTCTTTTCTTAGCTCTCTTTCGACGTCGTCTTGGCAAAGATCAATTCCTAAACGACCTTCTCTAAAAGGAAAATATACAGTTTCATTATAGAACAAAAATACTCAAAACCGCCGTATATGAAGCGACAACTTTTTAAATATTAACGTGAGAATTGTTACTTGTGAATTATTCAATAACAAAATGATTCATCGGTATATTATTACCTTAGAATAATGCACTTTCGACATTGTTTGAGAGCAGTTTCGGAAAGGGCATTTAGAGCTTGAATTAAGCGATTCCTGTAAGTGGTCAGAGCTTCGATTTCGATCATACATTCCTTGCGTTCGCGTTCGACTTCTTTCTTGAAAAATTCGATGTCCTTAATTTTTTCACTTATTCGGTGATCTACTTCCTTCTTGTTTCGTTCACTGGATTCGGTCGTTTCATCTCGAATTCGATCTGATTCACTTTTAATGAAATTAAATTATTGTACATCAATTGATTTTTTTACCTTAAGCTATTATTAATAATATATAACGATAAATAAATATTACTATGTGGTTAAATATCTTAGTTCGTATTTAGTCTATTAGAACTTGCTTATGAATGAATAAATATAGATTTTTTGCCATCGTTTGCGAAAGTGTTAAATATAGGCTCTAGGGATACCTCAAGGGATTTAAATTTTAATTAATTATAATTACCTTAAAACTCTGTCGGCCAATTGTTGTTGGTCCTCCGTTCGTCGATATTTCTGCCTTACGTCAAAATACCAGTCATCTAAAGTGTACTTCGCCGGTGGTGGAGGTATTGCCTCTAAATTTTCATTCGCAAGTCCCAAAAATGCCATATTTAAGAAATACAAAAAATATAGGTTTTTAATTTATATATAAAAATGGATTTTGATATTTGTATATTTTATTAATCGTTAGGCTCGGTAGTGTTTTGTTCTGACCTAAAAATTTATACATCCTCCTTGGTATCCATGGATGCAAAATAAACACTCAAAATCAATTATTCACAATAATATCTAGAGGTTTATGATCAGCAATGATAGATATGAAGTTTCTATTTTCTCTAGAAAATCTAATTTGCTTTTATGTTTTATAAAGCCTTATAAAGTTTTATTTTTTTTTAAATTTTCAAAAGTATTTATTATTTTTTGGTAGAAAGTATTTGTATGTTTTTTATTATATATTTAATATGTTTAGTAAACAAGTATGTACTGAAATCGATGTGTGTATTATTATTCTACAACTACTTTTTATAAAAACACAAAAATTGTTTGTGCTAATAATGCATAATATATATTCTCAATCAGACCTAAAAAGCCAGATTTTATACTTGAGAGTAAGCATCAAAGAGCACCCACATATAAGTACATACATACTGAAAAATATACAACCGATATTGCAAAATTCAAATTATTTGTCAAATATTGAAAAGTGAAGTTGCCGAAAAACTGCAGAATAAAATTAGTTTTATTTAAGTGGAATACTAAAGTAACAATATTTTTTTCTAAATACAATTCAAGTCCCCAGAAAAAAGATGGAAATATTACTATATTCAATATCAATATCTGAATAACAGGCCGCAAATTTTTGCTTATGTGAACGGAACTATTTCCACCCGTCAGAAATGGTGAGATCATGGAAAAGGTAAATTAAATGGAAAGATCGAAACTATAAAGGCATACTTTAATATGCTTTAATATATAAATTGAGAGACAATAATTGAAAAATTCATATTTTATTATTTAAAAAATAAACTAGACATTATAATGAACAATAAAGAGATTGCGAAATGTGATCATACAATTTCTAGAACTTTCGCTTTATGCTGCAATAATTTATTTATCTATGGTTTTACTCATTCGGCACAAACTTGCCATCCATGTCAACTTATTCTATCAATTTCTCGTGTTGCGCAATCGTTGTTTAGATTCAAACTATACGGTATCCTATAAAAGGGCCAAAATTCCTGTATTTGCCTTCATTTTCCGAGTCAGGTTCGAGGGCTAAGGACGTTAAATAGTGGCAATGCGGTCAGTATGCCTAGTATTTCTGATATTTATTGTACAACATGTTTGTCCGCGCTCCGGATTTGTGTTCGATCATAAAGAATGCCTGACATCAGAATACACGTGTGGAGATGGCGAATGTATTTCCAAGACTAGAATATGTGATGGCATTAAAGATTGCAAAGACGACTCAGATGAACATCATTGTGGTGAGTTTGAAATTTATTAATTTCAGATAAAAATATGAATCTGGGCTTTTCTTTGACGATACATTTTAATCGTACGATTGTTCTAGAAATGTATCGTTGTGAAGAACCGGATTGGTACCGTTGTGCAGATGGTGAATGCATTTCATCTAGCTTCAGATGTGATAAGTCAATGGACTGCCCTTCAGGATCCGATGAACAAAATTGTGAAGGTACTTTTTCATAAGTATTTTAAATATTTTTTATCAAAATGAGATTATTCTAATCATAGATTTTTATTGAGAATAATAAGTTTGCGGAACATCAAAAGATATAACTTATGTTATCAAATTATTCACTTCAATATTTGAACTCGATAAATAGTAAAATAATGGCACAAGTCCAAATGTTACAATTGTAATTGTCAAATTTACATCTAATTTCAGATTTTGTTTACACACCACCCTCAACTAATCATTCATGTGAACACAATGAATGGATGTGTGCTGATAGAATGTGTATACCTCTCGAGTTTGTGTGCAATGGAGATTTTGATTGCATGGATAAATCTGATGAAGACATGGGGTGCAAGGATCAGGTATAATGCAAAGTTTCAGTTACTCTAAATTTTAAGGTTCACTAAATGAAAAATTTGTTTTACATTTTACATTTTCAGCATGCATGTGATGGATTTCGCTGTCGCAATGGACATTGCATAAGTGAAGATTGGGTTTGTGATGGCGCAATTGATTGTGCAGATGGTTCTGATGAAATAGATTGTGGTATGTTTTGTTAAAATAAAAATCTTGATAATATCAGATCAAATATCTGACAAATTGCATTGCAGATTCTAGACCTGTTACTTTTATGTGTATCTTGGAAAAAGACCACTACCCATGCCGTGATAATTCAAGTTGCATCCCAATAAATAAAGTCTGTGATAATATACCACATTGCAAAGATAAATCTGATGAAGGGGTTGGGTGCCAACAAGGTGATTTATAAAACACTTAACAATTCTTTCCTATGTTAAATAAATGAATTAATATATATTTACATATATATATATGTATGTATGTATGTATGTATATGTAAATTACTCTTACCATTTCTAGATTGCACTAGTCTATCGTGTGCCAAACACTGTGTAAAGACTCCAGAAGGCCCTCGATGTGTTTGCCCCTCTGGTTTCCATAATCCCTTAAACAGTGACTTTTCTCACATGCACAAGAATTGGCAATACAATAACAATGATAACTGCACTGACATAAACGAATGTGCTATTCATGGAATGTGCAGTCAAAGATGTGAAAATACTATTGGTTCTTACAAATGTTTGTGCGATATGAAATATACACTTTCAAGCGATAAAAAAAGCTGTAAAGTTAATGGTGAGTATATGTACATCATGCATTCATCAAACTATTTTGACTTACACTTGCTTCATATATTCAGGTGGAGAAGCCTTGCTGCTGTTCAGTTCCAGATCAAATATAAGAGGTTTATATTTAGAATCAAAAATTCTTTTCCAAGTAATCAAAAATCAAAGACAAATCATAGGTGTGGAGTATGATGGTAATCATGTGTATTGGACTGATGTTCATCTTGGAACTGAATCAATTTTACGTTCTCTAGAAGATGGCAGTCAAATGGAGGTAAAATTTGAATAACTTCAAATTTATTGCTACATACAAAAATTATAATAATTTTTGTTTAAATTCAAGGTTCTTTTAACATCTGGTTTGTCAGCACCAGAAGACTTAGCATTAGATTGGCTTACTGGAAATATTTATTTTACTGATGCTGAATTAATGCATATTGGCGTTTGTTCCAATGATGGCAAACATTGTACAATTATAGTAAATGAAAACATACACAAGCCTAGAGCAATAGCATTATATCCTGGACGAGGGTGGGTATTAATTTACTATATTAAAATAAACCATTTTTGTTTCATACTAAAATAAAACATGTTTAGTCAAATGTTCTGGTCTGACTGGGGTGATAATCCACAAATTGCCACATCTTCCATGGACGGTTCTTCACCTAAACTGTTTGTAAGCACCAATTTGCATTGGCCAAATGGTATATCAATTGATATTCCAAATAAGAGACTATACTGGGTGGATGCAAAACTGCAAACGATTGAATCCATTAATTTAGATGGAACTGATCGTCGGGTAAGCCTTAACTTTACAATATGAAGTTCGATAAATAGCTGTATATTAATCTAATCTTTTTTACAGATTGTACTTAAAGGTGTCACCAAACACCCATATGCTATTGCTATATTTGAAGATCAAATATACTGGAGTGATTGGGATTCGAAAAGTATACAATCATGCAATAAATTCACATGCAAAAACCGTGTTACAGTGGCTAAAGAATCCAAAGAATATATTTATGGTTTGTATGAAATTGACTAAAAATCAATTCAGTAATTATTTAATTACATAATTCTTAATGTATTCCAGGAATTCACATTTACCACAGCGCCCTGCAGCCCAAACATGATCATCCATGTATGAAATCGTCTTGCAGTCATTTGTGTTTAATAAAAAGTGCACATGAATACTCCTGTGCTTGTCCAGAAGGTAAAGAATTGTCAGCTGACAAAACATCTTGCAGAGGTAAGCTTTAATTAAAAACCTCATTTTTTACTAAATTTTACTTTATTTTTTTTTTTAAAACATTTTTTACATTAGAAACTCAAAGACAAAGTGAATTAATTATTGGAGCTGGAAATTTAATGGTTAGTTTGATGCATCAGAAATTAGGACGACATGAATTACATGGTGTTCCAATGAAAATTAATATGGATGTCTTAACATATAATAGCTTAAATGGTAATTTATTTTTATGGAATTATGCATTATTCATGTTTTTTTTTTAAAATATTTTTCTGTTCAGGTGAAATAATTGTGGCTGATAACAATAAAAAATTCATATACACTGTGGACATGTATACTACCAAATCATCTCGTCTCACTGATATTAAATCTGGTGAAGTGGAAGCCATGCATTTCGGTAAAAAAAATTATTGCATATATATAATTTATATATATATATATATATATATATATGATTTAATAAAAATTTATTTACATTACAGATAATCTTGCAAACAACTTATTTTGGATTGATAGTGTTCAGCAAACGATTGAAGTACTTCATCTTGATACTGGCGTTAAAGGATTTATTTTACATGGTTTAGGAGATCAAGTACCAGTTGGATTTGCTATTGTTCCATCTCATGGGTTATTAAATTTGGAATTTAATAAAAAAAAATTGAATTTTACTAACACCTTTTAATACAATCATACATTTTTATGCAGGATTATGTTTGTTGCTTTTCGATCACACGATCATACCCATATTGATCGTATGCTACTGGATGGAAGTGGAATCCGAACCCATGTTGTGGAAGATGGTTTAGGTAGATGGGGAAAAATTTCTATGGTGTATGATCATGATCTACAACGCGTTTTCTGGGCTGTCGAAGAAACTGGCAGAATTGAAAGCTCTTCAGTTGATGGTAGGTTAATGTCCTAACTCATTTTTGCAATAATAAAACTGCTCTAACATGTACTTTAATACCTCAGGTGATGACAGACATGGCTTCAGACATACGAAAGATAAACCCATAGCAATTGCAATTTTGGGAAATGATCTATTTTGGACAACAGCAGGCAATAGACGTTTATATTGGGCAGATAAACATAATCTTGGTAATGGATTCAACAAAAAACTAACTATAGGTAATGTTTAACAAAATATTATCAATACTCACAATATGAACTTGCCAATGTTACTTGAAATGTTCTCAATTCTTTAGATATTGAGCGTAACTTGAAATCTGTACCTCTGACCGCTATAACACCACGCACCATTTCAAATCATTTGTGTATTCATGAAAATGGAGGATGCTCTCATATTTGTATTCCGATGATGCAAGGAAAGATTAGTTGTCATTGTCCAGTTGGATTATCTCTAGTGCCTCCTTACAACATGAGCTGTGAAACAATTATTCACTGTACTGGAGAACAATTCAGGTGTTCAGATACAAACAAATGTATACCTATGATTTTACGATGCAATGGAAATAAAGACTGTGATTTTGGAGAAGATGAATCTGATTGTGAACGTAAGTCAGAAATAATATACACCTATCAAAATTTACATGTTCATATTATTTCATAATCAGGTTACAAAGATCGCCAGTCCTGCGCTGTAAATGAATTTCAATGTAATGATGGTATTTGTATTGAGTATCACTACAAATGCGATAAACATTTTGATTGTCCAGACAAATCAGATGAAGAAAATTGTGAAAACTATGGTGAGTTTAAATAATTTCTTTGAAATATTTAAGATAACTATTTCACTATTATTTTAGTATCTTCTTCAAAATGTACACACGCACAATTTGAATGTGCAAATGGGCAATGTATTGATAACAGATTATTATGTGATGTCTTACCGGATTGCTTAGATGGCAGCGATGAAAAAATGTGTGATCATGTCACATGTGAATCTAACATGTTCCAGTATGTCTAATTATAGAAACTTCTCATATTCTTGTACCCATGTTATGATATGATCGTTATTTAATATAAACTTGTTCCAGATGTCAATCTGGTTCCTGCATACCATCATCATGGGAATGTGATGGAGAAATTGATTGCACAGATGCTTCTGATGAACATACCTTCTGTGGTAGATAATAACTTATCATAATAATATAAACTTTCATTGCATATAAATATAAATTCCAGAGCCAAACACATGCAAAGACAATCAATTTACTTGTACTAATGGAAAATGTATTGATATGGATTTAAAATGTGATCATGAGGATGACTGTGGAGATTCAAGTGATGAAATAAGATGCCCTTCTAAAGAAAAGGAATCAACTACAGAAACTGATTTTATTGACCTTATTACATGTGAACCTACTCAATACACTTGTGAAGAAAGTGGGGCCTGTTTGCCAGAAATAGCAAGGTACACATATATTATACAATACTCACACTAAATCTAAATATATACTAACATAATTTTTCAACTTACTTGCAGATGCAATGGTACTGCTGAATGCAAATATGGTGAAGATGAACGAGAATGTACGAACTGTCAACTTGATGAGTTTACTTGCAATTCAGGTCAATGCATACAACGCAAATGGGTTTGTGACAAAACACGGGATTGCAATGATGGTTCTGATGAAACAAGTGAAAGTTGTTCTGCGGGTATTTTGTTGATACATTATTTTATATTATTTATGAAATTAATGATTGTAAATTTTCAGTTACAACAGTGCAACCGGTGCATTCTCAATTTCTTCCTGTGTGTGATGAAGACAGCTTTCGATGCAAGTCTGGTGGATGTGTTGATTTCTTATTTGTTTGCAATGGTATTCCAGATTGTTTTGATGGATCTGATGAAAATGGTGCTTGCAGTAAGTTTGATTTATTTCATAACTAATTCACTTCATAGTTTTAAATTTATTCATTTAAATATTCATCTAATCACTTAGATACATCATGTGATGCAATTAAATGCAAACATAAATGCAGTCCAACTCCTAATGGTCCCCAATGTTCTTGCCATGAAGGATATCACTTAGCAGGTGATCATTTATCATGTACTGATATCAATGAGTGCAAAGCGGAATTGCAACAATGTGGACAAGTATGTAAATGCTTCTTTCTCTTATCTTTCTTGGGCCTGTGTCTAATTTTATCCTCAATTTACAGATTTGCACAAACTCCGCAGGTTCTTTCCATTGCTCATGTTATCCAGAATTTATGCTAAGGTAATTAATCAATAAGTTTTATTAATTCTACTTGACTAACTTCATTGACTTTTATCTAGATCTGATAAAAGGAGCTGCAAAGCTACTGGAGATCAAATGTCCATCTTATATTCCACATCTAATCAAATTAGAGAACTAACATTATCTCCACCTTCTGTTAAAATACTATTCAATCGCAATATACCAAAAATTCTAAGTCTGGATGTTTCAAAGCACACAAGTACTCTATACTTCTCCTTGCATCTCATTAGTCAAATATACAGATTGGATATTAAGAGTGGTGATGTCCAATATATTATGAATATTGGAAAACCAATGAAACTTGCTGTTGACTGGATAACTCAAAATATTTACTTTATCAGCGAGGACGATTTACATAAAACACTGCGAGTTTGCCACATAGAGAATGCTGCATGTGCAATTCTAATGAAGTTTGATAAAAATATAGCTGTACCAGAATTAGTTGTGGATCCCATTAGCAAATACATTTTCTACACAGTAACCCACTGGTGGGTGTACGATAATCCTATAACAATCCTATACAGGGCAAATCTGGATGGCAGCCATGTCATAGAACTACGTAATGAGAAATTAAACTTAATAAGTGGAATTGGTATCGATCATCATCAAAAAACAGTGTACTACTGTGATAAACACAAAAACACAATTGAATCAGTATCATACAATGGCTCTGATCATAGGATTCTTGTAAAAGAACAAAAGCTGCTCACTGCTCCAAATGGTTTAGATGTTTTTGAAAACTATGCTTATACTTTAGTGTATGGATCCACACGGATGATAAAATGCCGTCTGTTTGGAAACTATGCTTGCACAGTTATTGATGCTTATATTTCCAATGCTGATTCCTTCAAAATTAGTCAATACTCTAAACAACTCCTACATGAAAACGCTTGTGAAAATTCAAATTGTATGTATTTGTGTGTTCCTGCTGACTCTGGCCCTAAATGTATTTGCAAAAATGGTCTTATGATAGCACCAGGTAGCTCCTGTGTTGATGTAAGTATATTTAAAATGAGCTGTTATAATTTTATTCAACTTACTTAAAATATGAACTCATATTTTCTAGGATATGGATGATCATCCTCAATTTGGCACTATGGCATCAAATGAACAATCCACAAGTGTTGCAGTTCCTATATTTCTATCCCTTCTTTTATTTGGTGCTGTTGCAGGAAGCATTTTTTATCTTTATAAGAAAAAACAAGAAAATCGTGGATCGATATTTAGGTAAGTATATGTTATGTATATGTATATGTATATGTATATATATGTGTATATATATATATATATATATATATATATATATGTTATAAAACACACGATTAATGTGCACTGATTAACATATTCACTTTCAATTTTTTTTAGAGGCATACGTTTTATAACTCCTGCTTATGGGCAACAAGGCAAATTAGGGGAACGATCACCAGCCATGATACAAGTTTTAAGAAACTTACAACCAGGAAAGTTGTCTGGTTTTCAAGATAATCAAGAACCTAAATTTAAGGTAAGTGTTATAGTTGTGGTTGAATCACTACTATAATGATGTTAAAATATGTTTATTTATAGCAACAATATCCTGATCTAAATGCTGACTCTGACTCAGATATAGAGGCTGAAAAACATCATGATAATGATACTGCAAAACTCATATATTGATTATTGTGATATTTAACTTTTAAATAAGATCGTAAGCCTATCTTATTTGTCTTTGTAATAGGAACTATTAATAAAGTGTTAAATGTTTAAAAAAAAGCTGTTTGTCCTTATTATATAACTTTTGATATTATAACATCTTATAATATATATTAATATGTTTACATATAACCTATTCATATAATATATATATATATATATATATATATATATATATTGATGAGTTATTTAGAATCGGGCAGTAACACCAAGTAAAAAAACTAAAGTAGTTTTGAAATACTTTATTTATCCATACGTATTTTCGGTCTTCATCGAGACCGTCATTCAGTGGAAAAAGAATTAATTATACAAAAATACACTACACTATTACACTGTGATAAACCAAGCTATTAATAACTGGAACATTTAAACTAATTATTTTTTTTGACAATTTTTTGATCACATTATAATGTGTACAAATTGGCTAACGTCTAAATACTGAATGAAATTGATTGAATTGATTTCATTCAGTATTTAGACGTTAGCCAATTTGTACAGACTATAATGTAACCAAAAAATTTTCAAAAAATAATTAGTTTAAATGTTCCAGTTATTAATAGCTTATAAATATATATATATATATATAACTATAGTTATTTAACTAGTTGACGAAACCCCGATAACCGTTTCGTTTCGTTGACGGCAAAACCGTCAACGACCCACCTCTATATATACATATATATACATATAGAACATATATATATATACATATATATATATTATATACATATAATATATATATATACATAAATATATATTATATATTTATACAGTGCTGGATTACCCCATAGGCCCGTGAGGCCCGGGCCTAGGGCGGCACAATTTGGGGGG